CCAGCGCCGCAGGGCCTCCCGCGAGGATCTCGGATCTGCGCTGGAGCCCCCCCCCGCGCGTCGCCACGGCTGGGCGCAGCCCGGAAAATTGGTGCGTGCAGACCTTGGGAGGGGTCCAGGTGGCCGATGCTGTGGTGCCGTTGTCTCAACTCGCCTTGCTCTGGCACATCGGCGCGGGGGGGGCGGAGGGTTGCAGAACGATGGCCTTTCAGGGGCCCCAAACGGCCCCCAAACCGCCACCGCGGACCCACAGGGTGCACAACGTGTGCACGCTTCTTTACCCCCCCCCCTGGATTGCCCCCGATTGTCGGCAGCGCTGGCGAGCGCAGACGCGTCTGTGCGGGACCCGCGGGCCGCGCCAGGCGCAAGCGCCTCAGAGCGGGTGGGAAAGCAGCTGTTTTGTCCCTGATCACAAGCGTCGGCGAACACCCCCAAGTGGGTCCGTCGAGACAGCGGCGGCACTCCCTTCTTGTCCATCCTGGTCCTGGGGCCTCCTGGGGGGCTGCTCGTCGCCGCGGCCGGATCCGCCTCGAGAAGCGGGCCAGGACAGGCCCCACCGAGGAAGCGTCCGGGGGACCGATTGTGGGTGTGGGTTTGGGTTGGACGAGGGAGCGGGCTTTGTCACAACTGGCCCACCTTCGAGAGGCCCTCACATCTGGCGCACCCGATTGGCGGCCCGCACGAAGAGGGGTATGGCTTGGGGAGGGCAGCCTTTGAGAGGGTGGGGGGGGCGTCTTGGAGAAGGGCAGGGGGGCTCCTTGGAGGCCCGCCCAGCCTGTAAAAGGCCTTCTTGGAAGCATAGGGACGCCCGTAAAAGAAAGACCAGGGACACCAGGCGCAGATTGACCTGTCGCATCGAAGAGATCGGGGCGGTCGGCCTTCCGCTCCTCTCGGCAGCCGGAGGCCGCTTCTGGGCCCCTGGTCGCTGCGCACGTGCTCACCCGCACGCGCACGCGCACGCGCAAGAGCACGCACGTGCCCACTCGTAACGCACAGGCGGCCATCTTGGGCCGTCTTGGGACGCTCTTGGGCCGTCTTGGGTCCTTCTTGGGGGCCTCTTGGGCCGTCTTGTGGCGGTCTTGGGGGCCTCTTGGGCCGTCTTCGAGCGTCGGAAACCTGAAAAGAGGAGCAACTCAAACATCTTGAAAAAAACGAAACGATTTTGGCGTCTTGGGGCCCTCTGGGGAGGCCTCTTCGAAGCCTCCTGGGGCGTCTTGGAGGCATCTTGGGCCGTCTGGAGGCCATCGTGGGCGTCTTGGAGCGGTGTTTTTGCGAGTCGGGGCCCTCCTGGACCGTCGTGGAGGTCTCTTGGGGCCCTCGTGGCCCGTTTTGAGGCCCTCGATGCCCCCCCGGCAGAATCTCTGGAGCAAGGTACCCTTTCCGGGCCGCCGGGGGAGACCCTCCCCCTTCTAAATCAACCGTGCCAGGCTCTTGGGGGAGGAGGGGTTTGGGGAGGGGGAAGCATCTCACACGCCGAAGAACCCCAAGGGATCGTCGGATGACGGGAAACGTTTTCGAGGTACGAGAAGCGAGCTGGACGTCGTGGCTGAATCTGCGACATCTTTTATTTTCTCTTACTATGGGGGGGGGCGCGCCGCACGGCGTTAAGGGTTAGCGGATGACGGGAAGCGTCTTCGAGGTACGAGAAGCAAGCGGGACGTTCTGGCTGAATCCTTGAGTAAATATATATATATATATATCTTTAACTATATGGGTTGCCGCGCTGCACGGGATTTTTCGTTGGCGGATGACGGGAAGCGTCTTCGAGGTACGAGAAGCAAGCGGGACGTTCTGGCTGAATCCTTGAGTAAATATATATATATATATCTTTATATCTATGGGTTGCGGGATCGCACGGGGGTTTTCGTTGGCGGATGACGGGAAGCGTCTTCGAGGTACGAGAAGCAAGCGGGACGTTCTGGCTGAATCCTTGAGTAAATATATATATATATATATATATATCTTTATATCTATGGGTTGCGCGGCTGCACGGGATTTTCATTGGCGGATGACGGGAAGCGTCTTCGAGGTACGAGAAGCAAGCGGGACGTTCTGGCTGAATCCTTGAGTAAATATATATATATATATATATATCTTTATATCTATGGGTTGCGGGGCTGCACGGGAGTTTTCATTGGCGGATGACGGGAAGCGTCTTCGAGGTACGAGAAGCAAGCGGGACGTTCTGGCTGAATCCTTGAGTAAATATATATATATATCTTTATATCTATGGGTTGCGCGATTGCACGGGGGTTTTCATTGGCGGATTCCCCAAAATGGCCATTTCGCTCGAGACATCCTCGAAAAATCGAGGTGTTGGAGGTTATCGTTTAAGACGTCTTATGTCAAAAATGACGGTTTCGCTCGAGACATCCTCAAAAAATCGGCATGTTGAAAAATACAAAAAAAATTGTATGCATGAAAAATGAGCGTTTCGCTCGAGACATCCTCGAAAAAATGAGATGCCGACAGAGGTGTTTTAGAACCTCTTATGTTAAAAATGACGTTTTCGCTCGGGACGTCCTCAGAAAATGAGCAGGTGGTCTGCCGTGCTCCCGTGTGGAGCACGGCACACGGCAGACCCCACAGGAGCACGGCAGACCCCACAGGAGCACGGCAGAAATTTTTGTTATGCATGAAAAATGAGCGTTTCGCTCGAGACATCCTCGAAAAAATGAGATGCCGACAGAGGTGTTTTAGAACCTCTTATGTTAAAAATGACGTTTTCGCTCGGGACGTCCTCAGAAAATGAGCAGGTGGTCTGCCGTGCTGTCGTGTGGAGCACGGCAGACCACCTGCATTTCGCTCGAGACATCCTCAAAAAATCGAGGTGTGGTCTGCCGTGCTCCTGTGTGGTCTGCCGTGCTCCTGTGGTCTGCCGTGCTCCTTTCGGTTCCTACGCGCGGTCTGCCGTGCTCCCTGAAGACGACGGAAAGGATGACCAAGACGAGGAGCACGGCAGACCAAGACGAGGAGCACGGCAGACTATGCCCTAAGAGTGCCCTCAAGACGGCCGAACAACGGCAGACCCCATAGGAGCACGGCAGACCACAGAAGAGCACGGCAGACCAACAGGAGCACGGCAGACCACACAAGAGCACGGTCCGTAGCCATTTTGGCTCAAGGCCATGGCGCACCCGACGACCGCGAGTCCGTCGGGCGTTCTTGAGCGCGAGGGGCGCTCTGCCACGAGCCAGAAGCTTCGCCAATTTTGTTCTTCTTCGTTCCTGCAGGGCCGTGTGTTTCGGCCGAGCAGCTGTCAGTCCCTCGGTGAGCCGCCATGTCGGAGGTTGCCTCGGGGCTGGCCAGGCGGGCGTACTGGTTGTGTGCTAAGCGTGGCTGTAACGCTTGGAATTGGTGTGACAAGCGGTGGACGTGCAAGGCGTGCGGCACCAGTGCTCCCCCATGGACGAAGGAGTACCGCTCCGACAAGGCCCCCCCGCGGGTGGACGCAGACGGGTTCGTGCAGCAGCCCAGGGGAAGGGCTGAGCAGCGCGCGGCGAGGCGCTCGGCCTCCCAGCGGGCCCTCTCGGGGAGCACCGCGCCCAGCAGCGCCCCCAACAGCAGGGCACGGCGAGCGCGGCCCTGGGGAGAGGCCAAGACCCAGATCGAGGAGCTGCAGGCGCAGCTCGCGGCGGCCAGGGAGCGCGTCGACACGCTCCAAGGGGCCTCGGCGCTCGGGCTCTCAGTTGACTTCCAGCGGGAGGCGGAGAAGGCCCTCCAGCAGGGCAAGGACCAAGTCGCCGCCTTGGAGCGGTCCGTCCAGGACGCCCAGCGCACGGAGCGCCCGCCTCACTCGGTGCTCCACATTGAGGCCAACGCCATTCAGAAGGTCGAGCGCCAGCTGGCCACGGCGCGTGCCAAGAGGGAGAAGCTCCAGCTGCAGGCGTCCGAGCTGCGCGAGCTCATCGCGGAGAAGCAGGAGCAGCTATCGGCAGCCGAGTTGGGAGTTGATGAAGCCACTGGGCAGATTGCTGAGCTGGAAGAGACCAGGGCCAAGGTCACGCAGCAGGCGATCCAGCGGGCCAACGCAGCTGTCGGAGGAGTGCCGAGCCCGCTTGGGGACGCCGTTCAGGGGTTGCTTACTCAAGTTGGCGCCCTGTCGGATCTCCTCAAGCAGCACGGAGCCGAGATGCCTCCCAGGTTTTCGGAGATCGTCGAGATTCTCAACACGCAGAAGGAGGCGGTCGCTGATGTGCTCAGGCCCCGTAGCAGCTCGGCCAGGACGCGTTGGGGCGACAGCGTCGGTGACGACGGCCTCGCGACCGAGGATGACGACATGCCGCTCGACATCGTGGCCTCAGGTGGGCCAGCGGGCGCCCCCCCCGCTGGCGCCCCGCAGGCAGGGCCGACCGCGGCAGGGCCGCCAGCCTCGCGGGCCAGGCCAGCGGACGGACCCTACGGCCCTGCAGCGGCCCGCGGCCAGCACGGGGCGACCCTGGGCGCGTGGCCTCAGGTGGAGCCCTGCCTCGCTAAGGCCCTCGCCGAGCAAGGGGCGGCCCTCTCGGACGGCGACCCCTTGGTGGCTGCGGCTTCTGTCGTTGCTCCTGCTGCTGGGTACGGGCCGCGCCGTGGGTGATGCAAGAGCGTTGGAGTGGTCCGCTTCCACAGTCGGCCTCGACGTCGGGGACAGCGTGACGCCTTCCCCTCGGGGTGTGCGCGGGCCCAGCTGCTGGGACAGGTGGAGGAGGCGCTGTGACGGCCGCTGGCGCGTCCGCGCCCCTCGCAGGCGGCGGGCGGCGCCGAGCGCCCTTGCCCGAGGTAGCCAGCTGGCGCGGTCGGGAACACCGAGGTGGCCCCCCGACGGCCAGTCAGGGGCCGAGAGCGGTGGGATTCAGCCCCACGTCGTCGCAGCTCTCGGCCCCGTGGGTGATGGGCAGGCGCACCCCCCGCTGGCAACCGGAGGGGCGGAGGGACGGCCACCTCCTCAGCCCTCCGATGGCGCGCTGCAGAGGGGGCGACGGCCACCTCCCGTTCTGGCGAGCGGCCCGCCGACGCCGATGAGGAGCGCTGGAGTGAGGGGCCAGGGCCCCCCTCCAGTCCTGGTGGGGGCGGAGGGTCCCGCGACCAGGGGCACAGCGGGCCCCGTGTCTGGCGCTGGCGGGCGCGCCGCTCGCGAGGCTGCCGTCATCGGCAAGGCACCGCTGGTCGGCAGGGCAGGAGGCCAGCAGCTTCGAGCTGGCCTAGTCATGCTCGGCTGCAATGGCAACACTTGGAGCAGGAGCATGGAAGCCCTCGAGGCCTTCTTCAAGGCGTACGACTACTGGCCCGACGTAGTGGCGCTGCAGGAGACGAGGCTCCCGCATGAGCGCCTGCCCAGTGCGGCGGCGCAGGCTCGCGGCCTGGGTTACGCTGCCTTCCTCCACGAGGCGGTGCCGACGGAGAAGCAGGGGCCCCAGGCGACCTCAGGCGGCGTGGCGATCATGGTGCGAGATGGCTTGCAGGCCGACGAGTCTGCGTACCCGTTGCCCTCGGCCTTGCGGCACCGCCTCATCGGGGTGGAGATCGCCGCCGCCTCGGGCCTTCGGATCCTGGTGCTTGCTGGGTACTTTCAGCACTCTTTGGGCCCTCGAGGCACCAACCTGGACCTGTTCTCGGCCATCTCGGAGGTGACGGGCTCTTCTGCCGACATCCCGTGGGTCCTCCAAGCCGACTTCAACATGGAGCCCGAGCCCCTGGAGGAGTTGGGGTGGCCCGCTTCGGTGCGGGGGCACGTCCTGGGGCCCTCGGAGGCGACGTGCCATGCCGAGGGATGCGACCACCTCTACGACTGGTTCGTGGCTTCCGCGGCGTTGGCAGCTTGCACGGCATCCTGCGCCACCACGCTCGAGGGCTTCGGGCTGCACCCTCATCGCCCTGTCCTGCTTCGTCTCCAGGACGTTCGGGCAGATGCCTTGGTGGAGGTTCCGTCCAGGCCCGCACGCTTCCCCGAAGTTGCTCCTGAGCTCCTTCGGGCGCACGAGGACGCGGAGATTGTGTGCTACTCGGTTGGCAAGAAAGGTCAGGTCACGCCTAGGTGCGCCGCGTGGTCCTGGGACACAGGCACTTCACCGACCAACCTCTCCGTCGCCTTCAGCGAGTGGGTGGCGGCTGCTGAAGGCACCCTGGTCGGCATCCACGGCATCGTCCAGGCAGACTTGGCCCGTCATCTCGGCAGAGGAGAGGGGCCGCGGCTGTCCCTCAAGCCTCTCAGTGCCTTGGTCAGGCGTGATGCCAGGTTCAGGTTCAGCCTCCTCACGCACCGCTTGAGGAGCTGCCTGGACGTGGCCCTCCAGCGGGTGCGCGCTGAGAGGACTGGCCGCTGGCACCCTCGGCATGCTGACTGGTACAGGCACCAGGCCGAGCTCAGGGCGCAGCTCTTGCTAGAGGCGGTGCAGGAGGCTTCCGACTCGGTCGGTGGGGCCCCCCCTGGCGCAGCCCCTGATCGACTAGGCGACATGGTGTTTCAGGCGGGCGTCCACGGCAACCCTGATGCCGTTCGGGACCTCCAAGGGCTGCTCGGTGCATCGCAGCGCCGCGACGCGGCTCAGAGCGCCCAGGCCTGGCGCAACTGGGCACAGACAGCGGTCGAGAAGGGCGGTCGTCTGGCCCACCGCTTCTCGAAGGCGACGCCCCCGCCGACGGTCAGGGACGCTGACTCGGGCAGGAGGCTTGTTGGGATGGCAGCGATCGGCGAGCTCACGAGTGTCTGGCAGAAGCTGTGGCTCCAGGATGGGTTTGCCCTGGGCGCAGGGGCCAGCAGCTGGGACGTTGGCGAGTGGCGGCTGCCACCCATCTCGCTGGAGCAGCTCCAGGCGGCCTGCAAGCGCTACAGCCCCTCGGTGGGGCTCGGGTGCGACTCTCTGCACCCTAGGCAGATCCTCCTGTTGCCCGTTGCACTGCAGCAGCGCATCCTGGACATCTTGGCGGCCTACGACGACGCCCCTGCATCGATCAGCGGGCAGGTCTCCCTGATGGTGTTCATCCCGAAGGCAGATGGAGGGGTGAGGCCTATTGCGTTGCTGCCGCTGGTCCTGCGGCTGTGGTCGCGCCTCCGCCAGCCGTGCTGTGCCCGCTGGGAGGCTGACCACGACTTCCCCTTTTTCTGGGGACGTGACGGGCGGGACTGCGAGCGGGCTGGGTGGTTGCACAACTGCTTTGCGGGGTTCGCGAAGGCGAACCAGCAGTTCGAGGCCGCGAGCCTCTTCCTGGACATCAGCAAGTTCTACGAGCACGTGCGTCACGACGTTCTCTGGGCGAATGCAGTACGTTTCGGGTTCAACCTCAGGCTGTCGCGCGGCCTCCTCACCTCCTACCAGGCCCCTAGGATGATCCTCGCGGCGGGCATGGCTTCCCCCGCCTTCAGCACTACGGGTACGGTTTTGGCTGGGTGTGCGTGTGCGACAGCAGTTGCGAAGCTCCCAGTGCTGGGCGCCCTCCTGGCCGCGGGGGCGACGTGCCCGTTGGTCACGCCGAGGAATGTGGTCGACGACATCTCTCTCCAGGCGGTCGGCACGGCCCGACTCGTTAAGCAGCAGATGTTGGTCTCCAGCTGTGAAGTGGTCCGCCTGCTGCGTGAACAGCACCTCCCACTCAACGAGAGTAAGTCGGTCTTCCTGGCCTCGTCGCCGCAGCTCGCCAAGGAGCTCTCCGAGGCGTGGGCAGCGCAGGGCTTGGCCTTCAAGAGGGGACTGCAGGCGAGGAACCTCGGCACAGACGCCAACATCACCCGTCGAGGAGTGCACGAAGGTGCGGTGCGTGCGGTCGGCGGCCTTCGGCGTGGACGCAGGCTCGGGGTGCTTCGCTCAGCTGGTGCGGCGACCGAGATGGTCCACCGTGCTGGGCCCACCGCGGCGATGCTGTGGGGGCGTACGGTGACTGGTGTACCTGATAGGGAGCTTCATTCGTGGCGCTTGGCGGCTGTGCGCTCGGCTGGGAGGTTCCCCAAGGGCGCCTCACTCGGGCTGGGGCTCAGAGCTGTGGAGGTCATGCGGTCCATCGACCTCGACCCGAGCCCCGCGCTGCTTCGAGCCGCTGTGCAGATGGCGGCCAGCCTCCTTCAGTCGGGGGAGGTCTCCCAGCGCATGTTCGAGACGGCCGTGCAGGAGGCGGAGCAGAGGCACGCGGGAGCAGCAGCCCCATGGGCGCACTGCCGTACGCCAGTGGATGCCTTGGCCCTCTCGCTCACCAGGGTGGGCTGGAGGCTCGTCCAAGGCACCTGCCTCGCCACCGACGACGGCCACATCCTGGACCTGCGCATGATGGGGCCGCGCGAGCTGGGCCTGCTGGCAGCGGCAGGGGCGCGGCGTGCTTCGGACAGGTCGGAGCTGGCCCGCCTCGGCCACGGTGCACTCCCCCCGTCGCCCTTGTTCTGGGAGGCCTTCTCCGAGGTCCTCGGGCCTGGCAGCAAGCTCAGCCCCAGGGAGAAGGCGGCGGTGATGAGTTTCCTTTCCAACGCCCACTGGCCCCAGACCCGTCTGCACTCGGCGGGGGAGAGGGTGCATGCCCGCTGCTGCGCTTGCGATGCACCCCGCGGCAGCCTCTGGCACAGGCTGTTCGAGTGTCCCGTCCTCGCGGGGCCGAGGCGCGACTCTACCTCCGACCGCCTTCGGCGCTGCGCACATCGTGCACGTGGCCTTGGTGAGGAGGCGGGGGAATGCTTCGCGCGCTGCTGGCTCCCTCAGCCCCCGAGGGCCGCGCCGAGGTCGGATGCCATGGCGGTCATGTGGCGCAATCGCCCCGCCGACGGTCTCCTCGGGGGGCGCCTCTACCTGGATGGGTCGGCGCTCGACCCCGAGCACGAGAGCCTACGGCGTGCGGGTTGGAGCATCGTGCAGTGCGACTCCGACGGCAACATGGAGTGCGCGGTGTACGGCAGCGTGCGCCAAGACCTCTGCCCGTTCCAGACGGCCAAGGACGGCGAGGATTTCGCGGTCTGGATGCTGTCCCGCTTCCTGGGCCCGAGTGTGGACGAGATCCTCATCGATTGTGCGTCTACGGTCAGCTGCCTCACGTTGGGCAAGAAGTACGCGACGGCAGCCAACAAGCCCAATGCTCACCTCTGGGAGGGGATCTACGCTTCGCTGGACGTGGACATGCTCAAGGTTACCAAAGTGGCAGCCCACTGCACCGCCAGGGACGTGATGGATGGCAGGATCACGGAGGCGGACCTCCGCGGCAACGGTCATGCTGACCGCTGGGCCAAGGCAGGTGCGGAGCTGCACCGCACCAGCCCCGTGGCCAGGCGCGAGTTCTTCGGCACGATGGAGGTGGTGAGGGAGCTCGCATGCTGGGTGGCGC